TCCTTATACCAACATACAAGTTGTTAGAAATGAATTAGGTAATATACTTTGTGAAAGAGAAATAATAAAATGTTTTGCTTACCTTGTGTTAGTTTGACATAAGAGTTAAACCTTGTCCCATACCAAGATTGAGATCATCACTTAACAATGATAGAAACCATTTTCAATTTTCCTTGTTTCCAGCACATACGACTTCCCCAGGAAATTGGGTATATTTGGTCCCTAGAATCTCTCCCCACATCACAAAGCAACACACCAATAACATACCCTTTCAAGAAGAAACCATCAATTCCAATCACCTTCCTGCACCCTTTTAGCCACCCCTTCTTTACACCATCTGACATTGTAAGTACATCCATGCTGACTGTTGAACTAGGGTTAGATCTTCTAATTTCCTCTCCATAAGACCAAATCCTAGCATAATGCTAAATAAGGGTACCTTCAATAATATTCATAGCATACTGTTTCGCCCTTCTGCATTGGCTAATACGTACTTCAATATCAAATTTATTAATGACCTCCAATCTTAGTTGTCTGATTATCAGCTATCGTCTATGCAAATTCTCCTTGGTGTAGTGGCTACCAATCCTTAAGTAATTAACAATTGAACCCAATTTGTAGTTCCTAGCACATTGATGCTCACTTTTTAAAGATTTGTTTTGAAAACTATGTTTTGTACTCATCCAACTTGCCCATAGCCTGAAAGTACAAGCACCTTTACAACATAATACTAGAAGCCTCTTACTATCATTAATTTGTAACCATAGTTGATAGCTATTCTTAACAACATAATTACATAACATGCTATTAATCTGTTTTGGATTCTCAAATCTCATGCCTAAAATTGGTACTTGCTTCTTTCAGTGTACCTGAGGATTAAAGATAGGATGTTCCTCAAGTACATCATTATCCAATTCCTTTCTATTATCCATTTCTCTAACCTTTTTCTCATCTCCGCCTTCTGGGTATAACTTGTTAAGAAACTCATCGTCCTTGGTCTTGTTTAGAGGGGTATAGTATTACCCATTGATTTCATCTTCCAAACCATCATCAAACATATAGGCTGGTTCAGGATTGGGGATTCCTTGTGAAGTTTCTTTGGCATTCCCCTGGATTACTTAACCACTTTCATCAATTTTTTCATCGAACAACTCCTCAAATCCTTCCCCAATATGATCTAAATACAGGTTTATTGGCCTTTTAGGTGATTAATAAGAAACATCGATAAACACTTGATAAGCTATTTCGTTGGCTATTATCGTAAGACCATTTTCCATAGTTTGATCAAATGCTGAGTAATAAAGTTTCTCAAAAGGTTCTATGATAAACCTTTTTAGAAATTCACAACACCCATATAAATCCATTCCAAAGAAATCATGACCAGTAAACATGAACTTATCACCTCCAATATATCTATGTGGGTGTCTTGTAAAAACATTGTTATAGTGCAAATGCACTTTCAAGAAAACAGGGTATGGGTTCTCCATGAACTTTAACTACAAAAGAATGCTATATGAGAGAAAACTTACAAAAATGGGAGAGAAAAGCCCTAGAATCTTGAACACTTCAACATGATTTTGATAAACAACTAGAGTAAATCCTTTTTTTAACAGTTATACGAAGGCAACGTTGACGTGTCATTGATGAGATGTCATTTAATTAAAGAAATCAAAAGTCTAAAGGCCACATCACATTTAATTTCCGGGTAACCGGCTATGATGGTATAAATGAAAAGTAATTTGTTTCTTTAGTGGGGTGAGACATACAAAAATTAGTTGAATGACCTTTTAAAACCAAATGAAAAACATCATTGTGCTTCTATGTCAATAACCCTCCAAGAAAACTTTGATCATGGAGGGAAGAACACGGTTAATTCGTGAATAAGAAAGGAGGAGGAGAGAAAGGGATTAAATGCTCATAACATTAGTCGATTTGGCAACATAGGTCTCTTTTTACAAATATCTCTTCAAAATAGCTCCAAACTAACTAAAGAACCTAAAATAACTCACATATGCTCCTTCCCCATAAAAATCTTTCCAAAATTAGTCCTAAGACTTAATTGGTCAACTCTTATTTTCCTTACTCTAGCTTTCCTGCTCCCTTCCTCAACTAAGTTAGACTCCTTTTAGATGTTTCTCTATCGATCATCACTCTCTTTCACTTTAGTTGAACCTCTCACATCCACTGCTATTGGTTCTTCCGATGCTCTTAACACTTCTACTGATTTATCTCCCTCTCATACGTGAATATTAACACATTGCTAATAGTTTAACATTTTTATGTTTTGTTTTTAGAACAATTAGTGTCCGCCCTACTGGTATTATCACCTTTATATTTTTTCTTTAACATTAAGGTATGAGTTCGACACAACAACTCCCCTTATTGTTTTATGTTTTATATCTCTATGTGCAAAACTCAGCCCGCCCCAAATCATGTGTCTCAAGTCCGTCATATCCAACATAAAACCTGTCATGCCTCAAATCTTAATCCAAAGGGATAATGACTTGAAAGGGTAACGAACTTTCGACTTTTGTCACATTTAGTCACTAAACTTTTTTTCGTTATCTATTTGCCATTGAACTATTGAAACTGTTCACATTTTACCCTTATGACCGGCTGTTGCCGGTCATAAGGGTAAAATGTGAACAGTTTCAATAGTTCAATGGCAAATAGATAACGAAAAAAAAGTTTAGTGACTAAATGTGACAAAAGTCGAAAGTTCGTTACCCTCTAAAAAGTTAAATGACTAAATGTGAACAAACTTCCTCTTGTATTATGTTTTAGCAAATTATTTATTTTTATTAAATTATAGCAACATTTGTTGATGAAGAAATCTATGAAATAGAAAAAAAAAAAAAAAAAAAAAAAAAACACAAAACACAAAACAAAACAAAACCCTGAAAATATATTTAAAAAAAAAAACAAAAAACCAAAATCGAAATGCAAAACCAATGGTTTGACATTTTCCAAAATAAAAAATCAAAATTTCCAATCTGATTTTGGTTTTACAAAAAAATGAACCAATCTCACTGATGTGAATTATGACCATTGGTTTGGCATTCGAAATTTGTGACATCCTATGAATATGTAGTTACAACATCGTCTGAACTCGTAATTCATAGTAAGGGGTTAGAGTATCATCGCATGAATACATAGTTACAACATCGCTTGAACTCGTAATTCATCACCTACAGGTTATGGGCATGCTGGTGTTTCCACTGTGTTGTCTAGAATAGTCCGTGATCTCCATCTATACTTTGGTAGATGACTACATCGCCACATTGCTGGTTAAGGTTATGGTATTTCCTTTCATCCTACATCACATATTCATCATCATCTATATACCTAATTATCATCACCTTTCTATCATCACATATATCTAATCATTTTATTTCATCACACACCAACTATTTCATCTACCCATGTTTCATCCGCAACATATTTGTAGATATAAAATAAATATACCGTTTAAATCTTTTAAAACATGTATAAAATCGTTCATCCAGCATGGACAACAAGTATTCAAATAATATGACACATAACACGTAATTTATATAAAATACTTCATATCTATGTATAAGATGAAAGTAACTATATCTACCATAAAAATCCCATAAATGCTTCCTAACTTCGAACCCCAAGGTTTACTCTACTAAAGCTTCATATTCTTGGCTCTCTGAACCTAGAAGGGTCCAGATCTATCACACCAAAAAGCTCAAGATAGCTCTTCCTCTCACTCTACACACTCAAGCTCGCTAGGGTTCTCACTTATGGGAAATGTAGTGGCAATTGAAGGCCATACGTGCCTTTAAATATGGCTCGGGCCCAAAGATTTAGGGTTTCTGCCAACAGCGCAGACTCGTCGAGTCGCCTCACCGACTTGTCGAGTCCATTCATTAATCCGAGTCATCAGTCGCGACCTTACTCGACGAGTTGAGGCGTCAACTCGCCAAGTCTCTCTTCTTAACTCAAAAGAAAAATACTTAAATTATGATACCTGGAAATCCGGATGTTGCATTTTGTTTTTTTATTTCATAAATTTCTTCATCAACAAATGTTGCTACAATTAAACGAAAATAAATAATTTTGCTAAAACATAATACAATAGGAAGTTTGTTCACATTTAGTCATTGAACTTTTTAGAGGGAAACAAACTTTCGATTTTGTTCACATTTAGTCACTAAACTTTTTTTTTGTTATCTATTTGCCACTAAACTATTGAAACTGTTCACATTTTACCCTTATGACCGGTAACAGCCGGTCATAAGGGTAAAATGTGAACAGTTTCAATAGTTCAATGGCAAATAGATAACGAAAAAAAGTTTAGTGACTAAATGTGACAAAAGTCAAAAGTTCGTTACCCTTTCAAGTCATTATCCCTAATCCAAATAGGTATCATACAACTTTTTATTTTAGTATTAATCTTTTTTACAAATTTGTCCTATGTTTTAAGTTTTCTAAAGAATTTTGTCTAAACTTTTTTAACAAAATTCCCTATCTATTTTTTACAATTATATATATATATATATATATATATATATATATATATATATATATATATATATATATATATATTCTAAATTTAGTTTTATTTTAAAATAATATTTTTTACAACTTTTTTTACCATCTTATTTTAACTAACCTAGTTTTACAAATTCATTTATATAAAATTATTTATTTTAAACATACTTTCATTTCTACAACCTATTTAATATTTATTTCTATTCATGTTCTTTTAAGATTTTTTCATTTTTACTAATTAGTTTTCTTATTTATTCCATAAATTCAATTTTTACACATATACAATCCTAATCCTAAAAATTAATATTTTTGCATTTTATTTTTGTGGATCAAAACTAGATTCTTATTTTTGGCGTATAGTTATAACTGATGTATAATTATACATACACAAATTTCCATACTGATTGCACTTTAACTTGATATATATATATTCTAACAAAATAAATTTCCAGAAAGCTAACATTACGTAATAAAGGCCCATGGTTTACCCCGCCCCCTTAAGAGGAGGTACCCACTAGCCTCCTAAACAGGTTCCCATGATTTCCAGCTTTCAACTGCCATTATTTTCCATCTTTAGAAAGCAAACCGCCAATCTTCGTTGTTTTGTGTCTCGTGGGCCTATCCCACTTACTAATAATAAACATTTATATATTATATATATACAGATGTCAGTATAATTGATTGCAGTAGAAGGGTACTTGCCTCTTTAAGCAGAGATTATAGGTGTGGACCTATCATACCAGTCTCGCCTTCGAGACTTCTTGAATCGATTCAAGTGGATGATCGAGGTTTTTGGAGAACTGGGGCCTCGATTTTCAAGGATAGTGATGGGTTTTTAGTGGCGTTTTCACTTGATCCGAAGAAAAGTTCCATTCTTTTTAACTGCTTGAAGCTGTTCGCAGTTTTCCAGTGAAGTTAGCAGATTGCGAAGTTCAGGTACTTTCAGTCTTTTTCTCTCCTCTTCGTAGATGTTTTATCTTTTGACTTTCAATTTTTACGGGTTTGTGGTTTGGGTACTGTTGATTGCTTGTTTATCTGGTTACTTTATTTGTTACTGAATGTGTAATTCATTTGGGTAATCTACAGTTCGTGTGGTCAATTCGAATTAGGTCCATTTAGTGTCAATTCAATTCCAATTTTGATTTTATACTTTTGGGTTTTCGTATCATGTTACATGGCTTTTAAGATTTTAAGATTGTCTCAACTTAAGTGCAATGATTCTGTGGGCCATTTCTTTTACCAAAAATAAACCTAGAAATTAAAGCAAAACAGAGCTTCTAAGATAGGGGAAAATGGGGTTTTATCAAGAAAATACCATGAATTTGTGTTTGCTCATTTCAAGATAGGGGAAAACTGTTTTTTTTTTTTATTATTATTTTTTTTTTACAAACGTGGTTTTTGATTATCATATCGCTTTTCTTAGCTCCATCAGATAACATTTTTGGTCAAACAGCGATAATGGTAGTGATCTTTTTTCTTGGATTCCTCATCATAAATTACAATATGCGCCTCAATTGCTTCTTTTCAATGGTGGGGTTTTCAAGATTTTTTTTTTTACAACTTTATAACTTATTTTTACACTGTATACTCACAGCAATTCACTCACATCGACTTCATTCACAGCATGTTATATTGATTATAGTCGATGGAGTGTTAATTCAAGACAATACCCTTCTCTCTCTTTTCAGTGATTTGATATTAGTTCCTCTGTTCTATACACAGATCTGATCACAATGTCTACATCAAGGCCAAATGATCAATCTTCCACCAATTCCGCAAGATCAAAACACAGTGCAAGAATCATTCATCAAACAACAGTAGACGCGAAGCTCCACGCAGATTTTGAAGAATCCGGCGACTCATTTGACTACTCAACTTCCATCCACGTCACCAGCACGGTGGCCGGCGGCGAACAGCCTCGCTCCGACAAGGTAACCACCGCGTATCTCCACCACATTCAAAAGGGCAAACTAATTCAACCTTTCGGATGCTTATTAGCCCTTGATGAAAAAACATTCAAAGTCATCGCCTACAGTGAAAACGCACCCGAAATGCTCACAATGGTCAGCCATGCAGTTCCCAGTGTCGGTGAAAATCCACTTCTTGGAATCGGCACCGATGTCAGAACCATTTTCGCAGGTCCCAGTGCTAATGCTTTATATAAGGCGTTAGGATTCGGGGAAGTTTCATTACTAAATCCGATTTTGGTTCATTGTAAAACCTCCGGGAAGCCGTTTTATGCAATCATTCATCGAGTCACCGGAAGTTTGATCATAGACTTTGAACCCGTTATGCCTAATGAAGTCCCCATGACTGCTGCTGGGGCCCTCCAATCCTACAAACACGCAGCGAAAGCCATTGCTAGGTTACAATCACTCCCTAGTGGTAGCATCGAACGACTATGTGACACCATGGTTCAAGAAGTTTTTGAGCTCACGGGTTATGATCGGGTGATGGCTTATAAGTTTCACGACGATGATCATGGTGAGGTGGTGGCGGAGATTACAAAACCAGGGCTCGATCCTTACCTTGGGTTACATTATCCGGCGACTGACATCCCTCAAGCTGCAAGATTCTTGTTCATGAAGAACAAAGTTCGAATGATTTGTGATTGTAGAGCGAAACACGTGAAAGTACTCCAAGATAAGAAGTTACCTTTCGATTTGACGTTATGTGGGTCCACACTCCGGGCCCCACATAGTTGCCATTTACAGTATATGGACAACATGACGTCCATAGCTTCTTTAGTAATGGCGGTGGTTATAAATGACATGAACGATGAAATCGATAGCCCCGATCCTCAAAAAAGAAAGAAGTTATGGGGATTAGTTGTTTGCCATAACACCACTCCAAGATTCGTCCCTTTTCCACTACGTTACGCGTGTGAGTTTCTTGCTCAAGTTTTCGCAATTCACATCAACAAAGAAATTGAACTAGAACACCAAATTCTCGAGAAGAACATCTTGAGAACACAAACGCTTTTGTGTGATTTACTAATGCGAGATGCTCCATTAGGTATTGTTGCACAAAGTCCAAACATTATGGATCTTGTGAAATGTGATGGAGCAGCTCTTTTGTACAAGAATAAAGTATACCGAATGGGTGTTAGCCCAACTGAATCTCAAGTTTTTGATATTGTTTCTTGGCTCTATGAATATCACATGGATTCAACCGGATTGAGCACCGATAGTTTATATGATGCGGGGTATCCGGGAGCTCTTGCTCTTGGTGACATAGTTTGTGGAATGGCATCCGTGAGAATAACCGAAAAAGATATTCTTTTTTGGTTTAGATCGAATACGGCTTCTGAAATTAGATGGGGTGGAGCGAAACACGAGAAGGGTGAGAAAGATGATGGGAAAAGAATGCATCCTCGGTCATCTTTTAAGGCTTTTTTGGAAGTTGTGAAAACAAGGAGTTATCCATGGAAAGATTTTGAGATGGATGCGATCCATTCGTTGCAACTTATTATGAGGAATGCTTTGAAAGAGAATGAAGTTGCGGATTTGAAAACGAACGTGATTCAAAGTGGTTTCAATGAGCTTAAACTTGATGGGATGCAAGAATTAGAAGCGGTTACTAGTGAGATGGTGAGGTTGATTGAAACCGCTTCGGTGCCGATTCTTGCGGTTGATGTTGACGGTTTGATTAATGGGTGGAATACGAAAATAGCTGAGTTGACCGGGTTGCCTGTGGAGAAAGCTATTGGGACTCATTTGTTAACACTTGTTGAAGAATCTTCGGTTAAAACGGTGCAAAAGATGCTGAATCTTGCGTTGGAAGGTATTCTCTTTCAACCGTGTTTCTTTTTTTTTCTCTCTAATTGAGTGTTGAATTGAAAAGTAACGTAATGGTGTTTGAAATATATTTGAGAGAAGGGCTAAATGCGAAAAATAGCAACGTACTTTTATTTATTTGTATATTATAGCATCCTACTTTGATTTCGATATTTTCTTATTAAGGAATTGTAGTTTGAAAAATCTACTTTGCTAAATCTTTGTACTTTTAATATTTTTTGTATTTGGAAATTATACTTTCGAAAATTTAGCCTATAGCAGTGAAAATTGCTTTGTAAATGGATGACATTCTCATAAATTGGTTGATTTTTCAAAGTACAATGTCATAATAAACTAATCAATAAATGTACATTTCTTTTTCTTGCAGTTAAGTGTTCGAGAGAAAGTGACAATATATTTTAGAAATTGAAGAAAAAGCAAAGGGTTTTATGAAAAGTCTCATTATTTTGAATAATGTTTTGATAAAGTCCTAATTTTTTTTGAACAGTGAAGTCTCAATTATTTAATTTACGATAATTTGTCATTTCCTGTTAAAATAAAAATAATGACTTGTTCGTTAATATGGGTAAAATATTAAATAATCCGGACTTTTCTATTTCAATTTTTTTAGGACGTTATTAAAAAACATCCTAAAATAATTACACCCTTCCTAAAATCTGTTCAAAACTAAGTGTTCATTTCTTTCTCATTTAAATACATAAGAAACACCTACATAGACAATTCCATTCTTCAAAGTCATTATATATACGTATAATCATATATGATCTTCATTATCTTTGTGGTGTCCATGTATTTAGGAAAAGAAGAAACCAGTGTCGAATTCGAAATCAAAACACACGAATCCAAGAAAGAATCCGGACCAATCACACTTGTAGTCAACGCATGTGCAAGCCGAGACATACACGAAAGTGTTGTAGGCGTATGTTGTATTGCACAAGATATAACTCACCAAAAAACCATAATGGACAAATTCACTCGAATAGAAGGAGATTACAAAGCCATTGTGCACAACCCAAATCCACTAATTCCACCAATCTTTGGAACCGATGAATTCGGTTGGTGTTCTGAGTGGAATCAAGCCATGACCGAGTTATCCGGGATTTCAAGAGGAGAAGTCATTGACAAAATGCTTCTTGGTGAAGTTTTCGGGACCCAATCAGCATGTTGTCGTGTTAGTAACCAAGATGCATTCATCAACCTCAGCATTGTTCTTAACAAAGCAATGACAAGTCAAGAATCCGAAAAGATTTCATTTGGGTTTTTTGCTAAAAGTGGGAAGTATGTAGATTGTGTGTTATGTGTGAGTAAAAGGGTGGATAATGAGGGTACAGTTACTGGGCTTTTCTGCTTCTTGCAACTTGCAAGTAGAGACCTTCAACAAGCTCTTCATTTTCAGAGAATGTCGGAGAAAATTGCAGCTAAAAGACTTAAAGCTTTAGCTTATATAAGAAGACAGATTAAAAATCCGCTTTCTGGGATTATACATTCGAGGAAAATGATGGAGGATACTGAGCTTGGAGATGAGCAAAGGGAGCTTCTTCACACTAGTGCTTTGTGTCAGAAACAACTTAATAAAGTACTTGATGACACTGATCTTGATAGCATTGTTGATGGGTATGATTTAAAAATGTTATTTCTTTAACTTATTGTCGAGAATTTCGTTGAAAAAAGCTGACTTATGGAAATTTTTTGCAGTTATTTGGACCTTGAAATGACCGAGTTTACTCTCCAGCAAATCTTGGGTGCGTGTACAAGTCAAGTAATGACAAAGAGCAATGTGATGGGTATTCAAGTAGTGAACAATGTACCTGAGGAAATGTTGTCGGAAAAACTTTTTGGTGATAGTGTGAGACTTCAACAAGTTCTTGCAGATTTCATGTCACTATCGGTTTCTTGTACGCCAGCTGGCGGCCTCCTGTTTATTTGGGCCAAATTAGCTAAAGATCATTTGGCAAAATCCGTCCAGCTTGTCAATTTAGAACTCAGGTATGTTCTTTTAGACTCCATAATATGTTAACCACGACACTACAGAACAGAACAGAACAGGTTGTACTGTGTTTGACATGTATCACAATGTTAACTAGTTTTGTGTCGTGTAACAAATGCAGCTTAATGGTTCAATTGAATTGTGACTTATCTAAGTGTGTTGATTTGAACTCTTTCTTTTTGGTAGGATAACACATACGGGAGGTGGGGTCCCTGAGGAGTTGTTAAGGCAGATGTTTGGAACAAGTGTAGATGCAACTGAAGAGGGAATAAGTTTGGTGATTAGCAGAAACCTGTTGAAGCTCATGAGTGGAGATGTGCAGTACCTGCGGGAGGCAACAAAGTCGACTTTCATCATTTCTGTTGAACTTGCGGCTGCGGGGACCAAGAAGCTGTGAGCAACTTTCTTCTTTGCTCGGTGGCTCATTCAAGAATGAATGTTTACATGTTAATTTTCGGTTTGAGTTTGTGTTTATGTTGTGGTGGTGGTGTTAGTGTGCAACTGTAATCAAGGACTTTGTTGCCTTTTCGAATAATTGTAAGTCATGGTGTTTGAGGTTGGTTTATAGTTTAGTTTTTGTTAGTTTATCACATATTGATGAGACATGGTCATATATATATATATATATATATATATATATATATATATATATATATAAAATAAGAAATTTAAGATCAAAGTCTTAAACTAAGGAGCTTAAATCTCAACCATTAATTTTATATGTAATGCATCTAAGTAAAAAATAGTGATCCATGTGAGTTAAAAAGTACCCAATCACAAAAAAAATCCAAAGGAAATACAAGTTTTGTCAAGATATAAAAAGGTGACGTGACTTGCGCTTCCATCCTTTACAATTTTTTTTTCCTTGGAAACCTTTTTTTGAAAACAGAAGAATGCTTCTAACCATCACCTCCTTTGCATCCTCTACATCGACTACCACTCAACTACGCCACCTCGATCTTCACGCTGACACTACCATTGCCGGTGCATCATAAACTCTGCCACCTCCGCCTGCCTTCTACAAGCCCTAGATCTAAAGCGCCAACACTACTCCGCAAACTCCGTTACAACCTCCGCCGTTGCTCGGTTTCCGTCACCACCATCTGTCGTCGCTATGATGATGGCATCGCCGATTTTGGTATACATTTTCGCCCAAGATTTTCTTACAATGTGTTCTTAACCAACTTTTATTTCTTATGTTTTCATGTTTTTGATTCTATCATTTTTTTTTTGAAAATCCAGATTTGAAAGGCTTTTGATTTGGAAGGGAAGAAATCAACGACAATTACAACAAATTTATGCTTAACGACCTGAAGTATTTTGATATTTCAAGATTTGATTTGGAAGTGAAACTGTTGGAGAGATAGTCATTCAGTAAATAAAATCTTGTTTAAATTTCTGCAACAATATGCTTCTGATGATTCAAGATTTGAATTTGTTGATGTATATTTGGAAGAAGATGGGGTTTCTTCATGAGATTTCATGTTTTCAAAGTTTATTACTTTTTTCATCATATGAGAATTCATGTGGTTCTTTATTGCGTTATCAGTCCTTCTAAGCCAATGTTGTGACATCTGAGACCACCTGTGTTATAAAAAGATAAATTTATATTTATTGTTTCTTTTTGCGATGAGAATTGTAAAATAAATAAAAAAATGGATCTATATATGTATCATGGTTTGGTGGTTTGCTTATTGCCTAGCTTGCTATGAAGAGAGAAAATGATGTTGTTCTCCTGTGATGTGAATGTTTAGATAATTAATCCATCTTAATTGTTTGAAACTGAAAGTCCCTTTAATATTCTAATTGTTAATAGCAATTAGCATTTAATATATAAAAATGTTAAGTTTATGAACTAAAGCATTGCGTCAACCCTTAAACATTTATGGAATTTAGTAAAATATTGATATATTAACAAATTAGTAATGTAAAGATTTTTAACGATTAAAAAAATTCGGGTGAAAATATAATTTGTTAAAGATAACTTTTTAAAAAGTTTAATGTAGCTAGGTACCAATCTCATTTGTGACAATGTTATTATGTTTTATTATTAATGTTTAGAAAAATTAAAATACAAATAGATATAGTTCATGTAAATGGATAGATAAATAATACAATTAACTCATAAATTATATAAAAAATATGTAATTTAAAAAAAAAAGGAATGTGCAAGAAAAGTTCATTTTCCTAAAGACTTAAACATTTTAAGATTTCCGTTTCACCAAAACTTAATCTTCAAGATTGTGCATACATTCCCTTTTCCTTTTCATCGTTACTAAGGATATTCTTGTAATTTAACTATCTCACACTTTCCAAACAAAAATAAAATAAAGAAAATGTTAATTTTTAAACTTTGTACATACATTCCATTTTACGAAAATTGAAAAATGAAAATATAGTTTTATCATATTTAATATATTTTAAAAATCAACTACGAACTCAAATAAATAACCTTAAATTTCATAATACAAAAACAAATCGTATACATAAGTAGTAAAAGTTTTTTAACATGCATTTAGATTGTAGGTGTAGTATTTGGAGTAAATTGAAATTGGTATGTAATTTATTTTAGGTTATTAAAAAAGGATAAAAATATTCAATACATATCTTGAATAGAGATTCACGGCTCCATCCAAACTCTTCGTTTCCTACCCTTGCAACACGCTTCGCTTACAGTGTTCAAGGGATTACCCATGCCTAACGTTTCATTCTCCAAGATGATATCATCAAGGTGTCTGACATTTAATTCTCCAACGCCTATGCTCAACGTTTCATTCTCCAACCCTTTAAATCTACATCTAAGTCTTCAACCATTCTCTTTAGCAAACTCGAACCCCATATCTCCCACCGTCAGAAGCCCTAAACCTCACTCTTGCACCTGATTTCGAAGAATTGTTGTAACAACGTAAATTTCCAAAACAATTTTTTGCATTTTATAAAAACATAATTCATTTATTATTCATAAAAACATCATTGTTTGAAACTCAATTCATAACATATATCAATCCCAAGATCTCATAACATAAAAATCTCGTGTGTGTACTGATCAAGCTGGCACCTTCCCACGATCTTCACTAGTACCTGAAACACATAACACAAAACACCGTAAGCACAAAGCTTAGTGAGTTCCCCAAAATACCATGTATAACACATATTAGCCACTTGAGGCTATAATTCTGTGGGTCCGTGCACCCAAACTCTGTGAACCCTCAGGTTCTAACTCTGCAAGCATGCACAGCATAAAGTCACATAGAAGAATGCAGTGAAACAAACAATATATATATATAAAACATTGTATCACATAACTCTATTTACCTACTCAAGGTAAAGTATAGTGAGAAGACTCACCTTGGATGTCTCAGTAAATCTCTGACTCGGTAACTCTGGTCTAGCCTCTGCCTAATCACATGAAATAAATACCCTAATTAATACAATCCTCAGGGCTTGGCTAATATCTTCCTCTCAATACATCCACTAGGAAGGGTAAAAGACTATCCTACCATTCCTATGACTCTAAGGTCCAAACATTGACTAACCCTAAAAGTCAACGAAGTCAACGGTCAACCTTAACCAAACTCGCCGAGTGTGCAACTGTGACTCGGTGAGTCCACACATGCTCTTCACTCTCCTAGTTTTTATTCGACTCACTGAGTCAACCGCAACTCTGTAAATCATCACTGATCACAATCTGTGAAATGTCCTGACCCAACTCGCCGAGTCCAGCTCCTGACTCGGTGAGTACCATCATGCACTCTTTCCTCTAGATTCCCCCTGACTCATCGAGTCACTTCCCCAACTCAGTAACTCACCAACTGTGTGATTATCGGGAAAACCCTCGTCCTACTCGTCGAGTTGGCTAAAGGACTCGGCGAGTCCATGCCATACTCAAGCTAAACTGACCTCTTGAGGTCAGATCCGCTAACCATAGATCCAGCTTCGCAAGGCATTATAGTCACGTAAATCTAACATCTTGGTGCACATGCAAAGGCTCAAAGGCCTTATTTGAAGATATAGCCTCTAAGGTGACACCCTAAGTTCATAACCTCCATTAATGCTCATAAAGCTCAAGGGAAAAGGGTCTCTGGACCTCTTTGGGTCCAGATCTATAGCACCAACACGAGAAGGGACCAATTACTCCATATAATCATCCTCTAATGGGGCTAAAAAGCCCTAACTCTAAGAATCACATCATAAACTGAAGAAGGGCTCGAATGGATACCTCAAAATAAAGTCTCTGAGCTCTGGAATCACTAACTTAGCACCCTCTTCAGCCTCCTCTTGTCTTGGTCCTCTTCTATTTGCAAAAACACCAACAAAGATCAAGAAATAGCTCCTTTCCCTCTCACAAACGCTCTAGCACACTTAGGGTTTCTCTTTGGGGTCTGGTAGCCGAAAATGGTGGCCATAAGGCCCTTTAAATAGGCCCAAAACCCGAGGAATTAGGGTTTCATTAAATAGCATGGACTCACCGAGTCCTCAGGGCGACTCGCCGAGTCCAACCGTCCACCCGGATAATGATTCGCGTCTCTACTCGACGAGTCTACGCATCAACTCGCTGAGTCCTTCCACAAAACTTGAAATTTAGAAGAATAAATATAATACCTGAAATTCCAGATGTTACAATTCTCCCCCACTTGAATCAGACTTCGTCCTCGAAGTCTCATCTCTGAAATAACTCCGGATGCTGCTCACGCATCTCCCGCTCTGGCTCCCAAGTCAACTCGGATCCTTTCCGATGTTGCCATTGAACCTGCACCAGAGGCACCTCCTTGTTCCTCAGAACCTTTATCTTCCGATCCATAATCGCAACTGGTCTCTCCATGCAGTTCAGGCTCGCATCCACTTGAATGTCCTCTAACGGCACTACCTCCAACTCGTTGGCTATACACTTCCTTAGCTGAGACACGTGGAAGGTATTATGAATCTGCTCCAACTCCGCAGGTAGCTCCAAGCGATACGCTACCCTATCCACTCTCGCGATCACTCTAAATGGCCCAATATACCGGGGCCCTAGCTTTCCCCTCTTCCTGAATCGGATCACTCCTTTCCAAGGAGATACCTTCAAAAGAACATAATCACCGACCTGGAACTCAAGCTCGGATCGTCGCCTATCCGCATAACTCTTCTAGCGACTCTGAGCGGTCAACAACCTCTGCTTGACCTGTTGTATTTGCTCTGTCGTCTAAAGCACGATCTTCGTGCTACCCATCACTCGTTTCCTTACCTCTCCCAACAAATGGGAGTCCGACACCTCCTCCCATACAACAGCTCAAAGGGTGGCATACCAATGCTCGAATGATGGATGTTGTTGTAGGAGAACTCCGCTAAGGGCAAATACGTGTTCCAACTTCTGCCAAAATCGAACACACATGCTCGGAGCATATCCTCGAGCGTCTGAATCGTCCGCTCGCTCTGTCTGTCAATCTGTGGGTGGTATGCGGTACTAAAATGCAGCCTCGTACCCAACTCTTCATGAAATTTCTTCCAAAATCTGGAAGTGAAACGCGCATCTCGATCTAACACAATCGAGATCGACACCCCATGCCGCGATACCACTTCTCTCACGTATATCTCTGCCAACTTCTCCACAGAAGAACTCTCACTAATGGCGAGAAAATGAGCGCTCTTTGTCAAACGATCTACTATCAACCAAATTGCATTGACACCCCTCGCTGTTCTTGGCAATTTGGTGATAAAATCCATGGATAACTGTTCCCATTTCCACTCTGGGACTTCCAGTGGCTGCAACTTACCATGCGGTCTCTGATGTTCGGCCTTAACCTTACAACAGATAAGGCACCTCTCAACAAACCACGCTACATCTCTCTTCATACAAGGCCACCAATACTCCTTTTTAAAATCCAGAAACATCTTAGTGGCTCCAGTATAGATCGAGAATCTCGATTTATGTGCCTCCTCCATGAAGATGGTACGCGTTCTTCCAACAAACGGTACCCAAATCCGATCCTGGAAGGCTATAAGTCCTCTGCTATCGGTCACGAACTCCGTCACCTGCCCGATAACTCGCTCTCTCTTGCGGTTCTCCGGTCTCACTGCCTCAGTTTGATTCCCTCTGATGGTGTCCAACACCGGAGTCCTCACTATCAATCTCATACAAATATCCCAAATTGGGGAGCTCTCTGCTCTACGACTCAGGGTGTCGGCTACCACATTAGCCTTGCCCGGGTGGTACAGGATCTCGCAATCATAATCCTTTACCACGTCCAACCATCTCCTCAGACGCATGTTCAGGTTTGGC